GGGTAATCCTGGGGAAAAATGCATTTGAATTATGGCTCCAAAAGTGTGTCCACTTCTGCTTTGAAGCACCTTATTGCATCCTGTTGATGCCTCCTTTATTCAAACATGTATTTTTCTGGGATTTGTGTGGCTAGTTCAGATTTACCAAGAGTTTTCTCTTGGTTTATTCTCTGCTTCTCTTCTATATCTGCAACCTGTCATCCCAGGTATTTTGAATGCTGGTTTAGTATTCTTTTGAAAGTACTTGACCCAATTCAAAAATAGTTCAATATACTAGTCACAAGCATAGGGCACGTTCATGCCTGAAACTTGTTTAGGTGGATAATTTGATAGGCTGCTAATCCTGCCATTCAAAAGATCAAACTATGCTTACCTGGCTTCATCTACTGCAAATTAAAGAAAATGATTATTTTTCCCAGCGGCAGGTGACGCTTCATGAAGGGAGAAATAACGTCAAGGAGATGCACTTTCATTAATTTTTTTTAACTTTAAACCAGGGGTCTTCAAACTTGGCCCTTTTATGTCTTGTGGACTTCAACTCCCAGAATTCCTCAGCCAGGCACGCTGGCTGAGGAATTCTGGGAGTTGAAGTCCACAAGTCATAAAAGGGCCAAGCTTGAAGGCCCCTGCTTTAAACCGAAACACTAGCTAGCCTCCTTAATGAGAAAGAAGGCCGGGCTTTCTGAGCAGCCAATTTAAATTAGCAGCCTGCTTTTGGGATTGGTGAGTTGCACATCAACACTTACATAGAATAAATAAAGTGAACAAAGCTGACTGGCTCATAAAGTGAACAAAGCTGGCTAACTCTTTTGCAATTTCTTCTTTGGCGAAATCCGGTTCCTCTTGTCTGGTATGAGTGTGCCCGAATAAGATCCCTACATTTTACAAAGGGATTTCTTCCCGTCTTCTCCCGATACCTCCCCCTTTCCCTCTCAACGGCTCCGAGACGCCCATCCACGGCACAATATGTAATGCCGCCCAGTGACGTATGACGTACGCCACCGAAGACGAGCGCAAAGCGAGCTCAAAGCACCAACGCAACTCCGCCACTTCCGCTTTCCCAGCAATCTCCGGGTGAGCGGCTGTTCCCTCGACGCCTTGGGGAAAACCCGAGAGCTAGACCGCCCTCCGTAAACTTCGGGCTAGATGGTCGCTGTTCTCGCGAGAGTTGAAGGGGCGGGTGTCGGTTGACTCCGCGGTGATTGGCAGGCGGCGCTGAGGTAGCTTCCTCCTCAGGGCGGTACAGTAGTCCGCGGCCGCCATTGACGGCTCGGCGAGCGGCTGGGGGAGCCCGTGAAAGCGGCGAGGGGCGCTGGTGGAGACGGCGGCCAAGGCAAAGCAGGTGATGTCTTGCGGAGGAGAGAAAGCGAAGCTGAGAGGCGGGCGAGGCCCTGGCTCCGCGGGGATTGTGCAAGGGAAGTGACACGGTTTGGAGGCTGAGGAGTCTCCATTTTGTGGGCTTGGGAGGCGAAGTTCTTGGCCCGGTTTCCTCCCCTTCCCGTTTGCCTTGTACGGTTCGGAAAGAGAACTCCGACTCGGCAAACGGGCTCCAGAACTGCGCGTCTGCCCTGGGCGCGTCCGCGTAGACGAAGACACCCTCCTCGATATATGGGGCTCCGTTGTGCAATCGAGTCCGGAAAACAGAAACCTCCGAGCTGTTTTTACTATTGGTTGGCGCAGAAGGGGGGTTTGGGAGGAAATGCGGTTTCTTATCCAGCGATAGTCCAGTTTGAGAGAGGTCAGGAACCTTCTCCATACATTCATGGGATAAATTAAAATTTGGAACTCGGATTTTCCTGGTCTGAGGCTGTATCCAACATGAGGTCATTGGGGTGTTTATAGAGTACTTAAGTCAGCTTCGCATTCAAGTTATGACTGATCCTTAACAGTCTCTCTTTTTCTGCTTTTTAGGATCGCTTTTTTTTTATCATCTGGTAATAATGAACGCCAATAGCAGTTCTGTTTGCTGCTTCTGCCTTGTGCTGCTAACCTTAATTTGAATTTCGTATTCAGATAGACGGGTTGGTTTAAATGAATAGTTAGAAAAGGTGGTTAAAAAAAAGCCTCAGTAATTATGCGGGATTGCAGTTTTGAGTGTATCTGACTTGTTAGAGGACTGACTTGTTCGTTAACTAGGTATGATTTCCCTCCAGTGAAAAAGTATTGTAGTTAGTTGGAACCCTATGACCATATAAGTATTAAATTATTGACCAGTAGGAGGCACTACATGGCCAGTTTTGTTTTTATTGGGTCTCTTCAGGGATAAGTACTGTATCCTCCGTACTAGATAGACCAGTGTTTCTCAACCTTGACAATTTTAAGGCATGTGGACTTCAACTCCCAGAATTCCACAGCCAGCATTGCTGGCTGTGGAATTCTGGGAGTTGAAGTCCACATGCCTTAAAATTGTCAAGGTTGAGAAACACTTTAACATCCAGTATTGAGGTTGCCTACATCTGGAAACTCCCAATAAGGGCAAAACCACTTGTGTAGTGCCTCCTACTGGTCGCTAGCAAATATAATATGTAAGCCATATAAGCAAAGGAAGCAATCTTGAGGCCTCTAGCATGAGGCCCAGGCTAATAAAAAACACAAAACTTCTATTTTGAGCACATATAAAGAAATAAAGGCAATCTTGTGTAGCTTCTATAAATAAGAATTCTCTAGCTATGGTTTTTACAGTGAAAAGGCTATATAATAGATGGAGAACATATAGGCTGGATGTTTATCCATTGAATAACAAATGTGCTAACTTGCCCTAAATTGGATTTGTCTAACTTTCTGTCAGCAGGATTGATATAGCTTAGCTCTGTGGATTGAATAGGACAAAGATGCTATCTGTGTTTGCTGGTTCCTTCTCTCTTTGCATTTGCATGCATCCTTCGTCTGTTTCAAAGAGACACCCTTCAGCCTATCTCAGTCTCAATAAGCACAATGATTTTAACACATTATAATAGCTAATTCATTAGATATTTGTAACCATTTTCATATGTACTAATCTGTTCTCCCTGTCCCATTTTAATTTAAATCTGTTAACCGTTCCATGTATCTGTTAAAGTGAGTTACATTTCATGAAAGTGTGTGTTTTAATAAAATTTTTAAATCTAAAAAATGTTACCAAACTCTGATTTTCTGCAACAGTTAAGGAAATAGTAAATTGCTTCTCCCTTCCTTCCTCTAATTGGGATGTTGTAAGCACAGCATCAGTCATGAGTCCTCCTATTACTGAAATACACATGTTAAAGGCATCTCCTTTTGTTTAATGCAGTTTTACCACTTAAAACTAGTACTTAGAACAATGCAGTAAGACTTGTCTGGTTCATTTTAAAATGGCCTGGAGATACAGTATTTAAAATTCTGTAACTGATCTTGAATCATGTTTGAAATGTTCTGGAATATTTTATTTTTTATGAACTAAGGCTGGTAAATGCCCAGATACTCTCATGGACCATTTTGCAAACAAACCTATAATTCTTTCTATTATTCAGTATTGCCACAGTTTTTTGAAATTGACATTGTAAGGAGAGAACTATTGTTTTAAGCTGCAGCAACAAAATAGTTATAAATAAACTTTCTGTTACATACCATGTCCTTTGTGAGCAGAAAGGAAGATTGGATTGTTCAGCTAGATATGTACTCTTGTTTATTGATAAGAGCTTAATTTCTCTTCTTTTAGTTTTGATTTTGCTGTGGTCAAAACAGTCAAAAGTAGGACAATAGGCACAACTTTGATTATATATGAATCCAGGTTATGAGAAGAGTAGCAACCTTCAAAATAATTATGTTGGCTATTTTAGGTCTAGTTTGATATTGGATTTGCTAACTTACACCTTTGCAGAAATGAAACAATATATAGTACTTCAGTGTTATTTCTCCTCCCTATCAATATAATTGGCTAATGTTGGATTTTAAAAAAATGCAATATGTTTTGGATAATGATATCTGCTAAGGTCCTAAAGGTTTAAGATGTATAGATAACTAATATATAGGTATGCTTCCCATATTGCTAAGAATGTATTTTTAGCTAACCATCCCATGATATAAGTTGTATTTTTCAATTTTTTTAATATTCCAAAATCAATCTATATGTATAATACAGTAGAAAATCTGAGATTGACAGAACAAATTCTCATGCAAAATAATATTGAATACAGAGATAAATTGTATGCATTAAAATAAGATAAACTTGAATTTGCCTGCAAGACTTACGTTTATTTCTAGGCCATGTGTCTAAATAGTTGTTTCTAAACTAATGTTCGATACATTGCATGTTCTTTATATTCCACAGTTTGTTTGTTTTTTGGGGGGGGGTAATTTGAATTATAAAATAAGGTATAATATCTACTAAACTAAATTTTTAAGAGTATCTTAATGCTGTACTACAAATTTGTTAGATTACATGATTGTGTAAAGATTAAAATACTAAATTGAATAGTGATGTTTTGTCCAACTTGATTATAAAGCCTAAATCATACATGTACCGATATGGCGTTTCTGTGCTTTTATCAACATGTGCATTAGTCTCACGTAATGCACATTTCAGAAATGTTTAGCCAATTGATGTCCTGTCTTTAGATTTTATGGATTTTGAGTTTGCAGAATTTACAGGTTAGTGGTCCCTAGAAAGTGATACTAGATTTTAGGTGGAATTGATGACATCCTATGCAAAGGCCATCCTAGCCACAGCTGCCACCTGCTCCTCAAGCAAGAGCTGTAAGTTCAGGAAGACCCCAGATTGTGCTTTTTGGTCTGTCTGAGACAGTGCCACATCATCAGAACCAAAGATGGCAAGATCCCAGAACCAGATCAAAAAACTCAAAGCCACTTGATTTTGTTTTGTTGAATTGAAGTCTGTTGTGTCCTATCCAGGTCCTCTCACAGCCTCTAGGCACTGAGATTGAACCTCCATGGCATCTCTCAGGTGACCTGGCATGTAAAGCTAAGTATCATCAATATACTTGCCATGTCATCCCAGCCTACAGGATGACATCACCCAGCAGCTTCATGTAGATGTGTTTTGAATGATATGTGCTATTGCATCATCATCTACATCCTCACATTTAATAAAGTACCAATTTATAAAATTTATCTTTTTGATGCTTATATCTCATTTGTAGTATTTAAAATATTGATCAGAGGTTTAGTATAAAAATACAGGGGCAAAATTAACCACTGATTAGTATCTGAATTATAAATCTGTAGCTTTTCTTCCTATATTTTGCACAGTTCATTATCTAACTAGAAAAGTTGAATATTTATTTTTTATATAGTGCACACAAAATGGAATCAAAGCCATCAAGAATTCCACGGAGGCTATCTGTTCAGCCATCTGGTTCTCGAAGTGCTAGGATAGGAGCTGGAAGTGGTGGAACAACTTTAACTGATTCATACTGTACGAGAGAGTCTTCAATAAGACTGGATTCTGGACGCCAGGTAACTTTTATGATGGTATATTTTCCATCTTTCTCTGGTTGATGAGTTCAAATTGAAGTTAATCAACAACTTGGTTATATAAAAGATGCTGACTAATTTAAATATTTTGTTTCCTTTTTTTTCTGTTTAAAAAATCTTTCACAACAATAGTTGACATTGCTTTATGATACTCTATTCTCTTTCCCTCATGACAAACTTACTGCTTTCCATTTCTTTTTTGTTTTAACATACTAGATAGAGACTTGCAGTTTTAAGAATGCTGAATGATTTATTTACACAGAAAAAAAGCATTCTTTTACTAGAATCGAGAGCAGTTTAAGGTCTCATTAAAAATTATCTAGGCTGCACTGTGAACTTTAGAACTACAGGTAGTCCTTGGTTATGATGGTGCTGAAAGGGAGATTTAATGACTGGTTCTTGAAATTCCAGTCACTGCAGTGTCCCCACAGTCACATGACCGTGATTTGGGTGCTTCATATCTGGCTTATATTTATGATGGTTGCAGTGTCTTGTGATTGCCATTTGCAACCTTCCCTTCTGGTTTCCCACTGCATCAGTTGGGAAGCCAACCAGAGATCACAGGTTGCTCCTGCAAGTCACTGCTGCCACTTTTTTGCCCATTCACCTGCTCATGCTCTCTGCAGCATCCGCCCACCCGCAACAGTTACCTACCTTTACCCCATAGCATCTGCCTGCAATCCTGGAGTTATAATGGCAACCAAGACTGCTGAGATTGCTGTCACTAAGTGATGTGGTCACATGTGCGGTCATTGTGGCATTGTGCTTTAGCTGCATCATTTAGCAATTCCAATCCCAATTGCTGCTCTAATCCAAGGCCTATATTTTCTCAGCATGTACTTTCTGTCTTTTTCAATGTGTCACTAACTTGGACTCCTTTTTCATATTTTTTTAAATTAGAAAAAAGTATTAATTGCACTCTTTTTATATGTTAGAACTTTGGCTGTTCCATGTGTAGCATAGCTAGAACAGTACCAAACTAGTGAATAAAGATTCTGCTAAAAGTACCTGATAAAATTGCATTTTAAAAAAACTGATCACAAATATTAGGCAACTGGCATATGGATATTGCATAAGTGGAATTTGTTTTAGTGCTGCATGACAATTTACTAGAACTGATTCTCTCACCAGAGGTCTTGAAGTTTTTCTGTAGGTATTCTGGAAAAAAGAACAGAAATGTAGATCCATATGTAAGTTATTGAATGTTCCTAGGCAGGTTAAAATACAAAGCAGTATAAAATCATTGTGTGAAATCAGTGGAACAATAGAATTAAACAACAAAAATAATAAAACATAGTAGTTACAATAACAGAATGGCTTGAAAAAATCTAAAATTATAAAATGTATGGGAAAATAAAAATATAATTGAAATTAATATAGTGTATTATGAGTTTGAGGAGACCATGTCAAATTCCGATACAATTATAGAATTCTTTAGATGATTTGGGATTATTTTCTTATCTCAGCCCAACCTACTTCAGAAAAGGGTAACAATAAAATTAGACTCTTATGTTGCCTTGAATGCCGAGAGGAAAGGAGGGATATATAATGAAATAATACAGATATAAAAAGTAGGTGCTGTTTAGACATGTTTAGAAATGAATATAATGCAACTTAGGTGATTTTAATAACTGATTAAATCAATCTTCTTGCTTTGGAAAGAATGGCCTTTGCATATAGGAATACCCTCAATTTTCAATGAACAGTGTGAAGAAAATACACAGTTTCAATCCAATCTGTTTTTGGGAGAGAAGCAGAACTTTTATCCCAGCTAAAAATCTAGTGAGGCTTTTGCCTTGGAGCAGAGTTACCTTAGCCCTCTTCAGAACTATCCCCAAATACACTTTTCTTTTATTTTCTTCATGTTCATGATCATATTATGAACATGATTACTTATAAATCTGATTTGAAATAATACCTTCTTGAATTCTGGTATTGAATGATTCAGCCTGTACTCAGAAAGGTATATTGCATTACTTTCCATTTGAGTTCATGGAAGTACATAACTTTATTTCCTATAATAAACATGTAGATACATTCCCCCATCCCTTCTCTTTCTATCACTTTGCTAAGTATGGTCACCTAGAAAAGTATTGTTGACATCAACAGTAGCTTTTCAAGCAAAAATTTTCTAATATGACTGAAAATGAGTGTTGAGTCTGGGAATTCTGCATGTATTCTGCCACTTATCTGTGGCTATTACCACAATTCACCCTATAGCATATGTTGCTTTATCCCTGGAAAAAGGATTTGCTGGTACAGAATTAATTGATTATAAACTAATAAATCATTTCTATTTTAGAAATATTTATACAATTCTGTTTTTTTTCTTTTCAACTCTACTTCTCTGTTTAGTATTTTATTTTGTCAAAATTAGGTTAGCTTTTTTATGTTAAATGCTCTCTTAAATAAGTAGGCATGATTTGGTTTTGGTTAAATTTGAGTTAATTTGCATTTTAGAGAGTCAGCAAGATTCAGTGCCTTAAAATAGAAAAACTTCACAACTGTTTTCAAATTTAGTATTTCTCTGTAAGAAATTTAAAACAAGGTGTTTACCAAGTACTTGTATCATTTTTCAGGGTTTTTTTTTTCAATATAATTGTGTAAAACAGTAATTTACAACTATTGTTTTAAAGTGACTTGCTTTTGTTTCAAATGTTGCCAATGTAGCAGAATCTCAATAATCCTCTTCAATGAGAGGAGAATAGTAATGTTTGATCCTGCTTAGAAAATAACTTAACAGAAGTTGAATTTTTAACAAAGTAAACCTTACCCACTTAGGATGAGGTAAACTTATTTTTGTAGATGGGGTAGGAACAGTTGACTCTTCTAGAAAATGTTTAAATGTGATTAATTAAAAAGTGCAGATATTATAGATTTTATTTTCTTGTGTGGAATGGTGGCCCGAGCAGGACATTAAGTAATAAATATATTGTTTTGTAGGAATCTGGTAGGTTGCATAGTTCCAGTAGAGACTGGTCAGTTGAAGAACGAGAAGCTTATGAAAGTTCATGGAAGCTTCCAGCTTCTTCTCCAACTCACTACTCAGGAACACTTGATCGCCCATGGTCCGGAAGAATTTTGGGAAGCAGAAATAGATTGGTAAGATTTGCATAGTTAATTGGTTGAAGATAAAATTAGATATATATACATTCTTTTTTTTAAAAAAAGTTTATTGAAAAAAGATTAAAATACAAAACGCCAAGATATTTAGAAAAAAACAAACAACAAAAAAGACATTAACAAAAAAGTGTCTTTAAAAAACAACAACACATATACACATAACATCCTCCCTAATTGAATGCTAATTTGTATAAAGAACAATTTTGGTTTCCCACCCCTTGCAAAACAGGCTAAAAGAATTTTAAACTGTTAAACTACTAAATCTACTTACAAATTGTTAGCTTGTCATTGGTAAGCTATATTAATAACAAAGTAGTTAGCAGAAAAAACAATACTAAACATATTATGTAAGGATATAAAAGTTAAAAAATTGTGAACAGTAATAGGAGAAAAAGTTGAAGTTCCAAAACCCTCTGTTAACATGCTGTTATTGTAATCAACTCGTAGAAAATTTACCACGACCTCAATACCTAATCATCCCAAATATTAACCTTAATTGGTCCTGGATCAAATATCCAAGTTTGTTTCTTTATACTATTTCTTACTAGTTGCTGATTGATTGAATATAATAAGTCCAGTCTCCAAAGCCAGACTTCCAGATAAATGCTTTTGTCTTGTTTAAAAGTTAAATGCAACATCTTTCTACAAATTGGAATTCATGCTTAACTGTTTATATGCAGTTGTTTACCAATTCATAATAAGAAAATTGGATATGACCAGTGCAGAATTTTGGACACCCCTTCAATCAGTAAAAGTAGTCCTTGACTTAACAATCACAATTGGAAACTTCTGTCACAAAGCAGTGCAATCATTAAGTGAGTTGTGTCCAATCTTATGGCCCTTTTTGCCATGGTCATTAAGCAAATCATCATGGTTGTTAAATGAATCACATGACTGTTAAGTGGAACGGCTTCCCCTGGCCAATTTTGATAACATGAGAAAATAGTAAGTGCAAGGCATGGCCATTAGTCATTTTTTTTCAGTGCTATTGTAACTTCAAACTGTTTTTAAAAGAATGGCCATAAATCAAGGACTACCTGTACTTTGTAACACCTTATTTGGCATCAGTTTCCAAATATTTTCTTTAGCCAACTAAGAGTTCTTGCTTTTGGAATTTTTTCCACAATGCTCCTTATGGAACTTGTTTAGCTCAGAAAATCCTTGCATGCAGTGCATTTTTTAGGTTTCTTCCATAGATTTCAATAATACATCTTTTCTGTAAGTATTTTATGGTTGATTAGATCCTACATTTTTTCAGCATCAGTTTTTCACTGATTGTGGGAAATTAGCTTCTAGGATATATCAATATTTCATTGAATCTGTCCCAATATTGTCTATGCATTATTGCATGCATATACATAGACCACTTAATAGTTGGAACAGTATTCCTTATGCTTCATATTTTTCCCCACAAATGTATTTTGATGTTGAAGAGGTATCAGTCTCATTATTTTATTTTATTTCATAATTTTAGACCCTGATCAAGTTTTTTTTTTACAGATGTCAGGCAATAATGTGTGATGAAGAAAGGGTTTTCTTCTGAGAATTCTCTAGGATTATTGTTGTATAAGTAATGCTATAATGATCTAATCTTTTCAGCAGGTCATTTGCAGTGGCCTGTGAGCTGTATTTTGCAAGTCTGCCAAGTTTGGGGTAATTCCAGCAGATATTTTTCTTGGTCTTTCAAAGCTTGCCTTGAGTTTAAATAGTTCCACGTAACTTCTATTTCTTAGTAATGTTTCTAATAGTTTAAATTGCTATCTAGTAGCAATTTAGAGAGGGTTTTTTTATAGCTTCCCCTTGCTGGGAAGAAGGCAGACTCGATGTGTTTTGGGGCCCTTCAATTGATCTATCGAGACCTAGGAAGCATGCATTCTCTGTATTGTACCTATTCTTTGGAACATTATTCTCCAGAGATCTCTGGGACTCTCATTTTAATGATCTTGCAGAAATCTTTGAAAAGCTAACTGTTCTCTCGGGCCCTTAAGTACTGTAAGATATTTATGGAATGTTGGTTATATTTTCTGTGTATTGTTCTCTCTTACTGTTTTCTCCCTGTAAGCTATGCAGAGTTGCATTGGAGTCGGATAGTCTCTGAATTTTGTAAATTAAAAAACGTAAATAAATTATTTTTAGTTTTAGTTTTTTAGATGTTCAGACAGCTACTAATAGCCCATTGTTGTTAAAGTAAAAGAACAATAATATTTTGGGAGATTAGAAGGTTCAAAAGATCTCTTCACCTGTGGAATTTACTTGGATAACAGTCATATAATAGACCTAATATCACCTTTTTGGCTTTATTAATGATTTTTTCCCCCTTCACTTCACTTGTGCTCAATTCTTGGAGACTTCCTGGACAAGTTCTCACAGTTTTCTTGACAGGGTTTTTTTAAGTGGTTTGCCCTTGCCTCTTTCCTAGGGCTGAGAGAAAGGGACTGGCCCAAGGTCATCCAGTGGGTTTTCTCTCTCCCATTTTCTACCTGATGCCTTAACCACTATACCAAACTGGCTCTCTATTAATAATTTTACTATATGATTAAAAAAATAAGGACAGAATCAACTAGAAGAACAAATTTATGCAGTATATTGTTTTCTTTGAACTGAAACAGCATTCAATTGCATATAAATAATTATGATTTGGAAGTACCCAGCAACTATTTCAAAAGAAATATTTAAGTTTAAAATAGTAATGTTATTTACGACTTGCATTCCTACTCTGTGATAGAATTTATTATGAAAAATAAATAGTGCTAAACTGTGTAATTTGCTTAATACTACTGCTTGTAAAAATAAAAAAGATATAGTAAACATAAAATCATAGATTGAAAACACTCATGGCAAAATATCCTAAATCAATCATTTTAAAGCCCAGAAAAGTAAATGCACCACTAAAATCTCTCTGCTTTATTGGATTAATTTATTGTCACCAGTATTGGTACCTTGATTTCATCCGATAGATTATTTTAATGGAATTGGGGTAGGGCATCATATGGACAAAGATTTGGGGACAAGCTTATATAGGTTACATTCTTGTGTTGGTATACACTTCTGTAAGATAGTGGGAATTATTTGAGTTAGATGTAGATAAGACTAGGATTGTACTGTTAGAATTTTGAAGGTCAAGATAGATTTGGCCTGAAATAAAATTGGCAGCCAGTTCAGATTTTAAAAAGACCAGGTGTTGATACATTTCATATGCAATTTCAACTGAGAAATGTGCTATACATTCTATACTAATTGAAGTTTCTCAACTGTTTTCAAGGTTGCCCTAATGTACAACTCAGTTAAATTGAGAAGCTGCCTGAGTGTGGAAGACAAATTTTTGTGTTAACATCAAAGTAGATAGTGGAAGATTGATAACAACTATGAAGGATTGTACATATTTAAATGGATTTTGCATTCAGTCTATTTGAGTAAAAAAAGAGCTTGCAAATATTCATATGAAGCAAACATTGATTTACATTTCAGGTTTTCCAAATATTAAGAAAATGCCATAATTAGAGTTTATAATGCTGAATTATTTTGACAGAACTGTTCCAGAAATAACAAATTTTACCTTGTTTCCAGGACTAGGATGCATTTGTATTTTATCTCTGGTGTAATGCAATTTGTTCTTTTTAAAAGGGAATAATACTTTATTGTAATTTTTGACTAATAGCCTATTAGACTATTCTTTTAAAATTACTCTCATTTACTTACTGGTGCTGTTGGTTGTTTTACCCAAGACTTTTCACTATAATAGTTTTGGTTTAATCTTGTTTACTATTATTGAACAAGCCATTTAGCAGTAAATTAATAACCTTCTCAAATCCCAATTTGTAGGTTACATCATCATCATCAATTCCTGCATCATCTTGGTTGGGTGAATCTGATAGAACTCAGGGAGCATATTCTTCAAGACTGCATAACCAACAACAAGATATTGATTCAAAAAGACCTAAACTTTCTTATACATCTACCTCTAGTATGAGAAGTAGTGGTTTAAACACGGTTTCAGGTAAGTTGCATGTTAAATAGTAAAGAAAGTGTATCGATAAGGCTTATTAACATTCCAAACTGCCACTCCGTTTCTCCAAAGGGAAAATAAGTAGAAGGTGTAAAAAACAAGAATGCCATACTCAGTCAAAATTAAAACACCATTCCTTATCAGAGTAATAATGGTGTTTTTGTTACTTGTGGCCTGATGGCACAGCTATGTTCTCCAGCATGACAAATGGAGAATCCACAGATGGGTTGATCTTGCCTTTCTGCCCTAGAGACTAAGTCAATCAACCTTTGCCATGCCTCTCTTCCTCCGGCTAGGAATCCGCAGTCACGACTTAGTCTTAGCCCAAGAGAGATGTGGTGAAGATTGGATCTTGTTTCTAGCAGAAAGACAAAACTGTGGATTTTCCCAGGTTGTACCCTTCCCTTCTCTGCGCTGATATCAGTGCTGCTTTTCAAACTGCTGAGTGTCAAAGGGGTTTTGTAGGCTTCAGCTGAAGCCTTGAGCTATTTATAGCTTCCAGGCAGGGCAGAAGTGTAGCGGTCACCATTTTGAGCACCGCTTTTATTGTTTCTGAGTGGGGAGGTGGGGGGCCCTCCCTTCCAGCAAGGGCTGTTTAGACGTCAGTTTTGGCCAGAATTCAATCAGCAGTCTTATTAGTCAGCCATAGAAGCAGCTGACCGCATTTATTAATTCAGACATAACGACGGACAGGAGGTCGCTTACTAGCGGCCGCCATCTTGAAAGCCTTACAAACACTCTCAGGCCATTCAGAAGGCCAGAATTAAGGAGCGGCATTTCGAGGGTGCTGCTTCTCCAGGCTTCTTGGCAGCTTGCCGCATACCAAGGCTATTACAATTAGAGCCAACAACAACAGCCTCCTTCACGTGTCTGGATGCAATTTCCAAAGATTTCAGGGTGGCTGAGTGCCCGCTTTAACTGCCGCCATTTTCAGCGCCTCTTCCCACCGCTGTTTATAAGTCTGCTGGTTACCCCATTAAATTGGTCTTGCCGCCACTAACAGGATTATCAATGTGCTGGCTACCACATTAAGTTGGTCTTGCAGCTACTAACAGGAACATGAGTGTGCTGGCTACCCCATTAAGTTGGTTTTGCCGCCACTGCTAGGATTGTGAGTGTGCTGGCTATCCCATTAGGTTGGTTGCACCGCCACCACTGCTAGCCACAACTTGGCTCCTTGCTATTGGGATCACCTCTCTGTTGCAAACACATTGAGATTGCCATTTCTGTGATATCTCTGATTTTGCAATGGCAGATAAAACCACAGAAGCTTAGATATCTCAGGTTGCCTCCAGCAGTTCCTCCAGGCACAAGAAATCCAGATCAGCCAAGCAGGAGACTGCTGAGAAACTCAGATCCAAAGCTATCTCTGGCAAAAGGTCTACCAAAGCTTCTGAGAAAGAAGCACGCAGAAGGTACCAGGCATTGGAAAAACAATTCTCCAAAGCTGCAAGGCAAAAGAATGATGCAAAGGTTGGTCAGATTACTTCTGTTCCCATGGAAGCATCGGTTTTTGGCTTTCAACAAGCTCCTTCATCCTCTGCTGCTCCAAGTGCCTGGTCTCCAGAAGGGGAAACAGGTTAGTTCATTTTTCCCATGGCAGAACAGGTGGAGATGGTTCCCCATTCCAGTGAGGAGATTGGCCTTCATATCCCTGCTCCGGGTACAGCTAGACCTCTGGGACCAGAGGCCACATTCACTCCTACAGCGGCAGGGCTTCGCCCTCCAGAGGCTCAGGAGAACGAATGCACCTTCTGATTTCTCAGGCTATTGCCCAAGGTGTAGCTTCGACCCTACACCAGAGAGCTCGACCCGAGTCGATAGCATCAGGGATCTCATCTCACAGCAATGTATCGTTTCTCTCCCAGGCGGAAGCAGCCACATACCAAGGACCAGTTTCCCCCTCCAATTCCTCCAGGAATAGAAGGTCGTTCATAGGGGATGTCAGAAGATGATCCCCCTCCTTTCATAGGCCTGTTTAATCTGGCCCTTTTTAAATCCTTACTTCACAAGGCCAGGAGCACTGCTCAACTTGGTCCTGAAAGTGTCCCTCAGGCTGCACCTTCCACCAGCCAGGGACTTACCAGTAAGGTCTTTTCAGAACCAATGTTTACCCAACAGGACATTCCCTGTCCTCTCCTTTTCCTCAATGTAGTCCAAAGACAATGGGGAACGCCAGGCACTTTTCCATCCCAGGGGGGGACTGATAAAAAGTTATTTAATATGGCTCCAGCACTGTCGGAGGTGCTAGCAGTTCCCACTGTAGATGAGCCCTTAGCATCATTGGTTCCCTCCTTCACTGTGTCTGGAGATATAGCGGGGGTTCTGAAGTCAGAGGATAAGAAAGCGGAGCTTAATTTCCGCAGGACCCACCAAGGCAGTTACTTCAACTTCCTTTTTCGCCAGAATTTCACTCCTCTGGCGTCACCAATTGCAGGCTAGGGTCCCACCAGAAGTACGGATGCACCAAGATTTAAACAAATTAGTGGCTGCATCAGAATACATGGCTGACTCATCATTGCACGCGGCCAGATTTGCCTCCCCGGCATTAGCTTCTAATGTTACCTCTCGCAGACTTCTGTGGCTCAGATAGTGGCGAGTGGATTCTAGGTCCAAGTGGCAGTTGGCCTCAGCCCCGTCCAGGGGAGGCCAGTTATTTGGAGAGGCACTAAACCCTTATCTGATTGAGAACAAGGATAACCGTAAGGTCATGTCCCATCTTTTTAGGAGAGCAGACAGTAGAGCCCGCAAGCAATCCTTTCGCTCAACCGACACAGGGTCGGAATTCACCCATTACTCCTATCCTTATTCTCCCAGACCAGAATGTCAATTCGACAGATCTGGTAACAGGGACAGACCCAGACAGCAATTACAGGCCAAATGGCCCTTTTGAGGCGCGGGAGGCCATCCTTTCAGAAGGTCCAAGTGACACCAAAGGTGCCTCTCCCACAGGGGGCAGGCTGGCTCTCTTTGCACACAAATGGGAGAACACCACTACAGATCTCTGGGTCCTCAACACCATCAGATTCGGTCTGACTTTAGAGTTCAACTCACCCCCCACCCCCCCGAGGCATTTTGTCTCTTGCCCATCATCCAAAAATCTGGTCAAAAGAAGCCTCATGAAAGAGGCCATTCGACATCTGGAGATCCAGGCCATAGAACCAGTACCGGCAGGGCAGAAGGGACGGGGTTTTTATTCCATTCTGTTCATCGTTCCGAAGGCCTCGGGAGGGTGGAGGGCAATCCCAGATTTAAAGAAATTAAATATCCATTTGGCACACAAGTTCAAGATGCAAACGCTCCAATCCATATTAGCAGGCATCAGAAGGGGGGACCTCCTGACGTCCATCGACCTGATGGAGGCCTACCTACATATTCCCATCCTTTCCGGACACCGGAAATTCCTCAGGTTCTGCTACGCAGGTCACCATTTTCAGTACAGAGCTCTACCATTAGGCCTGTCATCAGCCCCCAGAGGTCACAAAGGTCCTGGCGGCACTGGCCGCGCATCTCAGGACCATTCCGGTGCGTGTCCAGTGCTATCTGGATGACATCCTCATTCAATCCTCCTCAGTCCAGTTGGCTCAGTCAGAACCGGCATTGTCCATCAAGACCCTCCAGGACCACAGGTTTTCAATAAATTTTCAGAAAAGCCAGATAGTTCCCTCCACCCGCCTCCACATGGGCACGGTGATAGATACAAGGAAGTGCGAGGTTTACCTGTCTCAGGAACGTTGGGACAGTATCCAATCCCTAGTCACCCAGATTCAAAGGGAGCGAGTAGTCACCCTAGCAATCCTTTCTCAACTGCTAGGAAAGATGGTTTCCTGCATAACAGTAGTTCCTTGGGCTCGACTCCACTCCAGAACCCTCCAATGGTTCTTGCTCCTGTTCCAGAGACTAGGCACCAGCTCCTCCAACCACAAGGTAGGGGTCCCGTCACAGACCCTGAAATCCCTCCAGTGGTGGCCAGGGGAACCTTATTCAAGGAGCCCAGTCGACTCATCCTAACATTGGATGCCAGCTTGTTCGGCTGGGGAGCGCACTTGTAATTCCACTTGCCCCAGGGTCGGTGGTCCCAGTCAGATCTGAAGCACAACATAAACTGATTGGAGCTCAGAGCTGTACATCTGGCTCTACGACACTTTTGCAACACAGTGGCAAGGCAACACGTTCTAGTCCTCACGGACAACATGGCGGCGAAAGCCCATATCAACAGGCAAGGGGGTACCCACTCCAGGTCCCTCATGGCCAAGGCTCAATTATTAGGAACCTGGGTAGAGACCAACCTCTTGTCCCTCAAGGCGGAGCACATCTCGGGAGAGACGAACCGGCAAGCAGATTTCTTGAGCAGGGCCACAGTGGATCACTCCGAGTGGCGTCTGCACCCGGATCTCTTCAGGGAGATATCGGAGAGGTTTGGTCATCCAGTGCTGGACTTGTTCGCTACCCCGGTGAATTCCCAGCTCCCGAGATTCTTCTCCGGGTTCCCGTCTCCAGGGGCGGAAAGGGTAGATGCCCTACGCAGCCCATGGCCCAGAGAGCTCCTATATGCGTTCCCTCCTCTCCCTCTGATCCAGGCAGTTATCCGGAAGATACTGCAGGAATGGGCAGAGGTGATACTTGTTGCTCCTCACTGGCCAAGACGGCCGTGGTATGCTGACCTCGTAGGTCTCTCGACCTCTGCTCCGTGGAGGATACCCCGAGATCGAATCTCCCTCAGACGGGGTTCTACAACATCCAGAGCCTCTGTGGCTCCAGCTAACCGCCTGGTATTTGAAAGGAGACTCCTAACAAAAGAGACCTACTCATCAGACATCATTACCATGATTCAGGCTTCAAGAAGGCCTGCAACTGATAGAATCTATGATTCCACATGGAAGAATTTCTGTAACTGGTGTGTGAGACAACAATTAGATCCAGCTACAATTCCAATTGCAAGAATTTTGGATTATTTACTGGAGGGACTTAAGAAGGGTTTGGCACCCAACACAATCCGCAGACAAGTTGCTGCCCTGTCCACAGTGCTCACATATGGCAACTCAGAGCCCTTGGCTCAACACCCCATGGTACGTTCCTTTGTTAGGGGAGCAATCAACAGCAAACCACCCGTGGTTCACAGATATCCCTCTTGGGACCTGTCCAAGGTCTTACAGGCTCTCACTTTACCTCCATTTGAGCCTGTCAGAACCTCCACTCTACAGTTCTTGACACTCAAGGCCGCCTTCCTAGTAGCCGTCACATCAGCTAGGCGCATCTCGGAATTAGCAGCACTCTCAATTAGAGATGACTTATGTATTTTTCATAACGACAGGGTGGTCCTATGCTTAGACCCCTCCTTCGTCCCCCAAATCAACTCATTGTTTCACAGGGCGCAGGAGCTTGTGCTGCCAGATGTTTGTCCTGAGCCGTCCCACGATTTGGAATGTAAATGGCATACCTTGGACGTTCGTAGAGTCTTGCGTCACTATATTAATTGAACTGCCTCTTTTCGCAAATCTGAAGCCCTATTCATTTCATTCCACCCCTCTTCAATGGGTCAGAAGGTGACTGCCTCTACTATCGGCAGATGGATTAGGGCTTGCATAGCAGAGGCGTACCAGATGCACTCCTTGCCAGTTCCAAGACGAATCATCGCACACTCCACTCGTAGTGCGGCAACTTCAGCAGTGTGGGCGACACAGGCGTCAATCGAAGAGATATGCAAGGAGCAACTTGGTCGTCTCCTTCCCCATTTGTGAGCATTATAAGTTAGATACGTTCGCCTCAGCAGACGCTTCATTTGGTAGGAGAGTTCTCCAAAGGGTAGTAACAGATAGTGGAACACAGACCCAGACTTCTTCCCGCCCATAGGGACAGTGAGGCTTTGGTATGTCCCATCTGTGGATTCTCCATTCGTCATGCTGGAGAAGGGGCGTCATCTTACCTGAACGCCTTTTCTCAGCATGACGATGGAGAATCCACTCCCCCCCCCAGGGTCCATCCGGTCCTGTTTCAGGGGTATTTGAGCCACCACCACCTTGAAATATCATCAACTGCTGCACCTTCGTCATGACTGGGGATTCCCAGCCGGAGGAAGAGAGGCGTGGCAAAGGTTGATTGACTTAGTCTCTAGGGCAGAAAGGCAAGATCAACCCATCTATGGATTCTCCATCGTCATGCTGAGAAAAGGCATTCAGGTAAGACAACGCCCCTTTTAATTGATTTTCTAAAAACCATGAGGGATGGGCCCTTTCTGATGTCCAGGGTCAAGCTATTCCAGAGAAGGGGGACAGTAATTGAAAAAGTATGGTTTTGAAGTTTCTTCAAATAGCAGTACTTAATAGGAGGGCCCTGAAGTGGGCTTGCCTTACTTGATCTTATTGGGAAGGCAAATAATACTAGGGAAAAGTAGTATCACAGATATCCAGGGCTGAAACATGAAGAGCTTAAAGCTGATAATTAGCACCTAGAATTGCACCTGGAAGCCAAGTGGGAAAGTAGACTTGCTGTCAAAGTTGTAGCTTAAGTTTATCAAGACATAGCTATAGCTTCTCTAAATACCACATTATGGATCTGCTGTAGTTCCAAATACTCAAGGATAGTCCCATACAGAGTTTGTTGCAGTAATCCAATTGAGAGGTGACTAAGGCATGAGTGACTGAGTAATTCCTCCTGTTGTAAGAGGATCCTAAATGATACACAAGGTTGAGATGTGCAAATCCCCTCTTGGGCAAAGCTGCCCCCTGCTCATAAGTCCAGGAAGACTCCCAAGTTACAAACCAGTTTTATTGGAGGGGGAGTATGACTTCAGCCTAAACTAAATATGGTACTTCTCCAGAATGCAATGACTTATGAACACAGAACCACTCTATGTTTCTAGAATTAAACCTCCTCTTCCTCAGAATCCATATGCCAGAAACCTCAGGGACCTGAACAGCATTTTAACAACATAATTCAGATGGCTCAGGATCTAGATGTAAAGTTGGGTATCATCAGTATAGCGTGATACCCAACCCTGTGTTGATGAATAACCTCATGCTTGATTATAATAATCAGAAGAGAAACTTGCCCAAATAAAATAGTCAGTTTCAAGAATACAATATGGTATTAAATGTAGAGTTTCTAAAGTAAATAACAAGCTGGAAAATAAAAATAGTTTTAACTTGTCTTTAGATTCCCCCTGGAGGTACAGTGATGTGCCCAGATCTTCATCTATGGTACTTGGATCATTAACAACTGAACTTGTGAGAGAGAGAAGAGAGCTAGAAAGGACAGAGCCATCTGTTAGTTTTATGGATTGTAGTCAAAGGAATGGTGATTTCCCTCCATCAGCATGTATGTATTGGAAAACTAAGAATGTTCAGTTACATGTTATTCCATAAACTTGCATGGAATGTTTATTTTGCTCTCATAATATCTGACTATTGATTAGTTGCTTCATACATACAGCTAGCTGGTTGATAATGCCATTAACTGTGGCAGTCAAGTCCTACTAGCAAGCATCTAGTTACTTTTTTTCATTGTTTAGAAAACTGTAGACTCTACTGTGCCTTTTAAGTGAAAATTGTTTTGAAATATAAGGAGCATGGTGGCTCACATGATTAGGACGCTGGCTTGACAAACAACAAGCCTATGTTCAAGACTCAAGTGCTGCTGTGGGGCAGATGAGCTCCTGTCCTTTGCTCCAGCTCTTGCCAGGGACATGAAAGCTCCCACCTGGGCATCCCCTGGGGAACAAGTGATGTCACCAGCTAATCTGTTCAACCCAGTAGCAACTCGGTCCTCCCAACACGAGTGCAATGTGATTTTGAAATAACGATATCACAATTTGAAATACTAGACCTTGAGATACTTGGCCTAATTTTTAATGCATAATTAAACCTTAACCACATAAAATGCTACTGATCTTTCCATTTACAGTATATCAGTAAAGAGTTAGCTCGGAAGCTGATAATAGACACATTAGCAATTCAAGATCTTTGGTATATTTCCAATGCCAAAAAAGTAATATGTTTGCAGTTCCCTTTGCTCAATGAATGGATATTTTTAGAGACAGAAGGCCCAAGTTTTAGTATGTAATTCAGAGATACATTTATGTCTTACACTGTATATAGATAGCATAGTAACTTAGGAATTTTAAATTAAAATAAGACAATAGTGGGCCAAGTCATATATTATGAATAAGTGTACCTTACTCATTTTCAGTATGGTGAGATTGACAACCAAACACTTTAAACATGTTTTGAAATATCCAATAAATATGAAAAAGTATCTTACATTTGCAATGATTTATATTTATATTAAATTGTGTCATAGTAAGATAATAAAGGACATAATATTCTGAAGATTCTTTGCTATTGATTTATTAATTGTAAATAACTAGGATTTACCTTAGCAATATTCTTTAACAGTTTATAAAATACTGTAGATTTAGAACATCTAAAGCGCATTTCAGTACTGATAATACGGGAATTCTAGATTCTGTTAATACATATGGACCACAAAGTGAAATTAGGGTATGTTTTAAATATTCTGCCATTTTCAAATCTTAGGCAATCCAAAGTCCTCTTATAGTAACCCAAATTATTATTTGGCAGTAAGTAGATTTAAGATATTAATACTCCACTTTCTCATGATTTGTTCCCATCCAAGAAATTTACTTGTAATTTTCAAATTAGAATTATTCCAGAATGTAAATTTCTCATGTGAATAAGAGTAAAAATGACCCCATCTTAGCTTTTTCTAATTGTGCTTCTAATGCAGAAACTATAATACACCGTGGCTGAAGATGGAAAAATACTGCTTGTCTTGCTACTATGTCAGCAGGGTCACATTCTTTCTAATTGTGCCAACAATATTTTTGACGTTGTCATTTCATCCATAGATACACTGAACTCAAAATATGTATTCAGTGATAAAGCAGAGAATCAGGAAAGATAAACTTCCATTATTATATGATAGCTATAATTTAGATAAAGAAAATCCAGCAGTTTAGAAATATTATAGTACTTAATGGGAAGGGCATTCATTATATTAGCATAGAAATACCTCTAAGTATATCAATCTCGAAGTTATATGCATCTTTATATTTCTCTTTCCTTATATGCTCGATGGGATTTTAAACTGTTTATTTCAATTTTATCTGTGTTAAAACATTTGAAATATGTATATACATATATGAAGCAAGTTTCCTTGGAATAGCTATTCCCAAATTTTACCAATAATTTAAACAATTAAAAATCCATGGAAGGGCCTTTACATTATATATGAACTTCAATCAAAGCTGTTCGAAGCAAGCTATATGCTAAAAGGAAACTAAGCAGTAAAAGTCTCATGATTTTAATTTTAAAAAAGAGATGTCAAATTGTAAAAGTTATGCGGTTCTTGATCTTGAGCTACACAAATAACATTTAGTGATTGTATGGCCTATAAATTTGATTTTTAAAAATGGTTTAATGTATCTTTTAATTTCCTGGCATATAAAATAACTTAGATACCCTTGCAACTTAAAATATTTAAATCTGGAAAAATGGGGCAATTCTTTAAAATAATTGATATACTGTAGGTCAGGAACAGAAAAAGAAAAAAAGGTTATAAACACATTTTTTAAAATGAAAAAACAAAGGAAAGCACAACAAAAAGAGCACCCCAGAACAAATAAATGCACATGGAGAAAACGGTTTTTTAAATAAGAAGCCAGAAATAAATACTAGAATAAAAACTAAAAAAAACACCTAAACCCATAAGGATTCCTAAATAAGAGGTTCAGAAATTGTAACATAGGAACTCCACCTCCAGGGTCCATTGTAAATAGTCAGTTTTTTAAAAGTTCTTTAAGATTATTACCTGTTTAATTCAGATGATCCTGCAACAATTAACTTCTCAGTAACACCTGGGGCATCCAGGAGTTTTTTAAAAATTGGAAAAAGAAAAAAGATTTAATCTCTTTTTTATATACTAAATTGTTTTTACTTCTGAACCATCAGTGGAAGTATATCTGGATTTATCATCTTTTCATTCAGGGGTTTTACTTGGTATAACAGATAAAGAATATAGTCCTGTATTGTAGATCTCAAATATCTCACAACAGTGGAATATAGTTTTTGGGTCAAATGGAAATGAAAACCCACCCAATCCCATCCAATAAACAAATTAAATTTCAAATGTATACCCTGTCTACAGGGATAAAATCCCACATTACCATGAAATGTATTCTAGGCTGATTTTGCTCGGTAATATAAGGAATGTTTAAAAATATACCTGGTTTCTTGTATGTAATGTAATATGCTTTATTAATTCACTTTTTTCCTGTTCTTTTTTCCCCTTGCTTCCTTTTATGTGGGTTTTCCCTATTTTTCTTCCTTTTTTGCACATTACAGCAGTTAGAAAAAACATACTGGATCAGTAATTTTAAATAGCCTTAATCACACTTAAAACTAGTTTCAGCTAATCAGAAGCAGTGTAACTACCAGAACATACTTGATCTTTGAGCCAGTTCAAACAGACAAAAATATATTCATTCTATGAAACCTGATGTTTTAATTGTTCTTCAAAGAATTACTGCTTCTAGCTAGCTTTACTATAGGATTGAAACACTAACAATGTATTTAGATGATTCATATATTCATTTACAATAAAACTTTTTTCTTTTTCATTTTTATTTAAAGACCAAATATAATAAAATCTGAACAAAAGTGTTGATGAATATACCTTGCTTCTCTGCTTCTGTAAAATTTAGGAAAGTTTAGCAATTGAAACTAAGATGAAGTTGTAAAAAAGGAATTTAAGATTACTGCAGTCAAAATAAATTAACAATGGATGTTTGCAAAAAAACATATGGTTTTCCTAAATACTGAAAAAACGAAGATCAAATCCATCTCCCTGTGGAATGTTCCAAGTTCATTGCCTGGGAAGCCCAGAAAAGGCGTTCTCCCATATACCAGAAAACTGAGATTTCAGCAGCAGGGGCATGTTCAGAATAATATCTCATGCTGATCTAAGGAACTGGGCAGGCTCATAGCAAAGAGAGGTCTTCTCTGAAGTAGACAGGCTCTGAGTCACTCACAGCGTTAAAGGTCGAATGTTAAATTGTGCTTATTCAGCAGTTGTGCCCTTTGGCAATTGAAAACCAGCAATGTCTAACTGTTAAGGTGCTGGACTAGGAATGGGGAAAGCTGAGTTTCTGTAGCCCTACCATAGACATAAATGGTAGCTGGGTGATCTTGAGCCAGTCCTTGTTTGTCAGGCCTAGAACTACTGAAAAATGTTGCCAACTGGGCTGATACTATAGTATGTTTGAGAGTTTGTGAAATGGTGAATTTGAACTAAATACAAATTATATATATGTACTATATGTATGTATATTTTGCACTGAAGATTTGCCTTGTCGGATAACAAAACATCTGTGGGCAAACAACCAAGCTCAGAGACCACCAAGGAGTCTACAGATAGAGCTATGTTTTAAAAAGTACATTTCCTTAATTTGAGTAAACCTGTAGCTGGTGTCTAATTTTAATTTTCTTTTCTTTTTATTCTTAGATTTGCAGGAAAGACCTGCTTCTTCATATGCACAGGGAGCAAGACCAAAGGAAAACTCATTGAGTTCTTTGAGGCTGAACACATCCATGAACCGCCAGTTGCCTTCTGAACATGAATCTTCATTACTCTCTAGAGATCATAGCTGGAATTCAAGATCTAACTATGTCCCAAGAGAAGTAGAGACTTCTGAAAGGAATATACAGCCAGAGTTTAGCCATGGTACCACGAGAAGTGGGACCAGAACTTCAAACCATTCTGAAGAAGTTTTGCCAACCCAAAGGTCATTAAGTGAACCTTCTGCTGATACTGAAGGAAGGCGTTCAACAAGGCAGTTACTATCTCGCTTGGCGTCTAGTATGTCCTCCACCTTTTTCCCAAGAAGATCTGGCCAAGACTCTTTGACATCTTCAAGATCATTAGGTTCTAGAGATATAAATGTTCTAAGAACTCAAGTTTCTGCCCAGACTACTTCTTCTAACACACTTACAACATCTGAAGGTACAGAAGCTCAAACACCTGATTCTGGTCCTCAGGGATTTAGCTTCCTTAGAAGACGCTGGGGTTTGGCAGGTGTTTCATCAAATCCTAGTGCTGATTCAGAACCTGGAAATTATAGAAATAATTCTGAAGGTAGAAATGCAAGTTCCTGGCTGTCATCTTCTTTGAGGAACAGATGTACACCTTTGTTTTCAAGAAGGAGAAGAGAAGGAAGAGATGAAACAGCAAGAACCTCTACCTCTGAAACATCTGCTAGGTCACTGCATCTTTTTAGGAGAAGAGAATCTGTTGGGGATGTACCTCTTCAACCACAAAGGGAATCTCTCAGGCCGAGGCCATCAATACCTGCAGTACCCAGTAGTACTATACCTGTTGCTTCAGGATCAGAGTCAGTGCCTCCTAGAAGAAATTCAGGAATATCAGGAATGTTTCCTGGCTCTCTCTTTCGGTTTGCAATGCCACCAACTTTGGGAAATAACTTGTCTGACAATGTTATGATAACTGTAGATATTATTCCATCAAGCTGGAGTCAGTCTAATGGGCAAGATAGCGACAAATCTAAAATATCACCTTCAAGAGATCCAGAAAAGCTTCAGAAAATTAAAGAGAGGTAAACAGATATTTTTATCATTTGAATGATGTTTTAATTATAAATTTTGTTGGGCAAGTCCTATACTTATTGCAACAAATAATATTATCTTGGGAATGCTGATGTATCTGGTTAATGTCATAATATACAAACAGTTTAATTCAACATAGTAAACTTTCTCACCTCTGTTCAGTCTTCTTTCAGAAGACTCAGAAGAAGAGGAGGGAGACTTATGTAGGATTTGTCAAATGCCCTCTACATCTGCCACCAATCTCTTAATTGAGCCATGTAAATGCGCTGGAAGTCTGCAGTATGTTCACCAGGAATGTATGAAAAAGTGGCTACAATCCAAGATTAACTCAGGTAAGAATTCATTTTTAAGATCACAAGTCAGGAAAAATAGACTAATTTGGAAGTTGATCACAAAAGAAGATTGTTAAAGTGTAGTTGGAAAACGAATGAAACTGGCTAAATACAAGTGAGAGTGAGGGTCCTTGGTGCTCTCTGGCGCTTGGTTGTTTTCTTGCAGATGTTTTATTAGCCAAACTAGGCAACATCAATGTCTGTAAGAAAACAACCAAGCTCAGAGAGCACCAAGAATCCCTCATTTCAACCCTGAGCTACAAATATTCTATTGGTACAAGTAAGAGTCCATTTTAGGAATTGCATTATGGCAGTAAGAACAGCAAAACCAAGTTATTTTTTGCTCTTAACAAGTCCCCAGATGACTGCCCGGTAAGCCTGTTTAAAGTGACTTGTTCCCTCTCCAGGGCTATTATGGGGAATAATGAAGGCATCCAGCAGATAAAGTTGCTTAGATTCATTCAGAGATGGACTCTTATTGGGTAAGACAGTAAGAGAAGCACCCCCCCTTCCCCTAGGCTGGGAATGTTTCATCTTTAATCTTAAATGGAATTGCATTTTCTCTTTCGGATTGATGTGCAATTTGGGAATATATCTTTGAACTCAGCTTCTGCTTGAAGAGCATGTAGCAGTTGTGGTTCGGAAGCTGTCTCACATAATCAAATATTGTTTTGCTATATTACAGGTGATCCTTGCTTAATGACCACTCATTCAGCAATCATTTGAACTTGTGATGTTGCTGAACAAGTGTACTTAGGAACAGTCTTTTAAGTTTTCTAAGTTTTTCTAAGCAGTGTTCCACTATTTGAGGGGCTCCTACAAAGATGAGGGGTTCAAACTATTTTCCAAAGCACCAAAAGACATGGCAAAAACAATGGGTGGAAACTAACCAAGGAGAGAAGCAACCTAAAACTAAGGAACAATTTCTTAATGGTTAGAGCAATCAATTAGCTTGCATTCAGAAGTTGAGGGTGCTCCTTCACTGGAAGCTTTCAAAAAGAGACTGGACAACCATTTGTCTGAAATGGTATAGGACAGGGCTAGGCAACCTTGACTCTTTTATGACTTGTGGACTTCAACTTCCACAATTCCTGAGTCAGGTTGCCTACCCCTGGTATAGGGACTCCTGCTTGAGCAGGTTGTTGGACTAGAAGACTTCCAAAATCCCTTTCAACTCTATTATTCTATGTTTTAAATTCTGACCATCACAGGGTTTCCATGAGCACTTGGTTATGATCCAGGCGTTCAGTGCCTGGCTGCGATTATGACATTAGAGCACCCTGTGGTCATGTGGTTACCATTTGCAACCTCCTTTGCTAACTTCTGACAAGTGAAATCAGTGGGAAAGCCAGCAGCAAGTCGAAAATGCAACCATGTTTCAACACAAGTTTCTGTTCAAGAATATTTCAAAATTCATTTAGAATTTTACTAATTGGAAAGTAATATACAGAAATATGCATACTGAGATTACATATGTTTAGAAATATTCATATTTTAATGCAAATGTTAAATTCATATTTTAATGCAAATCTTTTTTTGAAAAATACACAGCATAGTATAGAAACACAATAGAATGGGCAGGTATAAAATGTTTATTTTATCTTGTTGATCTTAATTATAACAATAATATTGCCTTAATACATAAACTGAAAACAATCAACAGGGGCACTTGAGTTTTAGATGGGTATCCTGATTTCTCTACTCTTGCATATTTCTCTTTGATTCACAGTTGTATATATAGTAGTGAATTTAGTTTTCTGTTTAATGATATACTTTTCTCAACATAATTGCTGACTGTATCTTAATGTTTTCAGCACCAACGCTAAATAAAACAAAAAGTATAACTTTCTCCCCTAGGTTCTTCATTGGAAGATGTAACTACCTGTGAATTATGCAAAGAGAAACTTCAGCTCAATCTTGATAATTTTGATATCCATGAACTCCATAGAACACATGCAAATGAACAAGTTAGTATATTTTGGCTGATTTGGTAAGTGTCAGTTCAGTGCTTGTGACTCAGGATAGGTTTTTTTACCACTCTCTGGAAGAAATAATCTGTTCATAACAGATAGTTGATGTTGCTTGTATGTCGCGACCACCCAGCCATGCCCATCTGGCCCTTTCAGGGCAACCATTATGCTGATGCGGCCCTCAATTAAATTGAGTTTGACACCCCTGATCTATATGACGTGGTTGAAGTAGGCAAGTAAATATGGAAAAAGGTGGTCCTTCAGATAATCAGGGCTGGAGCTACCTAGGACCTCAATTCAGCACTTTGAATTGGATCTGGATTGCGTTTGGTAATTAGCACAACTTTTAAAGCTGTGTGGTCATACAAGAATATCAATATATACCTATCACTGCCTGGGCCACTGCGTTCTGCATCAGCTGTAGCTTCTAGGATTCTTCAAAGTCAGCCCCATGTAGAATGCAATGCAATGGTTTAAATGTGATGTGACTAGGGCATGAGTGACTAGGAGCAGGCTGTCCCAATCCAGGATTTATATACACAAGCTGTAACTACAAACGTCTTCCTAGCTGAAGCTGCTATTTGTTTCTCAAACAGGAACTCTTGAGTGTAGGAAGACCCCCAAATTACAAAGGAGTACAATCTATTCAGAATCAGATTGATAATTCCTTGATATCATTCAGGCCACAAATCAGTTGGATCCAATAAAGATTTTTTTAAGTAGAGGCATCTTCGGAGATGACAGAAACGTTCCCTCACTCAGAGAATTATTGATTACTTCTCAGATTCAACCCTCACAGGAGGCCTTAATAAACTGTGAAGACAGGGAAACAAGAAATGGAGAAGTAGTGAAACTAAATACATAGGGTCCTATGTACTTACTTGGGACTCAGACTAATGATTCTAGATCACAAGACATCCAGTTGCCTCCACTGACAGAGAACAATTCATCTTGGATCTGAGCAATTGGATCTGTGTTGCCAAGTGGAGTTGCTACTGATTAGCATGGGAAGCAGCACAAAGCAGCCTACTCAACTGGCCCTTCTGGCCCACCTGCATTTTTGGTTTTCTGTGGAGTAGCACCTCTTGATGCAACAGAGTCTTGCTGCCACTCAAAGGCAGCGGTTGATACAAAACCTGAAACTCTGATGGGCAGATTTCTAAGAGGGGAATTCCCTGTTCCTCCCCTATCCAAGTGCAGCAATACATACCAGATCTGCCCTCCCATTCATAAATCACTGATGAGAAAAATCTTACTACAGACAGTTCTGCTATTAATAGGTGATAGGACTCCAAACATCTGAACCCTGGCTCCTGGTATGAGCACTGGGAACTGGAAGGGGGTATTTGTATTTGATTTGTATATCATTCATTGAGGAGACTTTCTATGGCTTTTTCTTGTGTGTGTGTGTGTGTGTGTGTGAGAGAGAGAGAGAGAGAGAGAGAGAGAGAGAGAGAGAGAGAGAGAGAGAGAGAGAGGGATGGAGAATGAAGGATGTATAATTTTATAACTTAGTTGTGCTGTGTTATGTGTTCTCAAAATTCACTTGCCTGGAAGATTTGAAGTTGAAAATGATATAAATGGGAAGTGAGAATGAACTTTAATAAATCTATCTTATTTGCTAATGCTGCTGAAATAAGGATCCTTGGGATTAAGGAACATGCATAAATCTTTCAAGATGCTGGATTTCTTTGGTAATGACACTTGGTTTTCCCTTCCAAAAAGGACTGCAATGTAATACACACTTTACTAAATTTGAGCCTATGCTATTTTGCACAGTTGATCACCACCGTGTTTCCCTGAAATTAAGACCCGGTCTTATATTTTTTTTGCCTCCAAAAGAGGCATTAGGTCTTAATTTCGGAGAATGTGTTACCTTAGGACCACCACAGCCAGGCTTCCCATACCCCAACACCTGTCGCACCGCTGCTTGACTTCTATGGCCGCTTGCTGCCACTTCCGGCCGGACACCATGTGGTGCATTGCGCTGTTTCTGCTCCTCCCGGCAGCATGCCGCATGGCTCTTTGGGCCGTTTCTGCCGGCAATGGAGAGCTAGCCAGTTAATTGAAATGAAGAATCATCAGGAAGTGTGATTTGACAAGTTATTTCTTTAAATGTTCAAGAATGTTCAAATCCAAGTCTGAAGTTATTGTACCCCTGCAGCCAAGGGGAAAATAATCATGAAAATACAGTATTTATATATTTTGGAAAGCTTAAATATTTGATTTACTAATGCCTTTTCTTTCCAGGCAGACTATGAATTTATCAGTTCTGGGCTTTACCTTGTAGTATTGTTGCATTTGTGTGAACAGCGCTTTTCAGATATGCTGGGAACTACAAGTGAGGCCAACACACGTATCCGGGTAAGCGACATGACTTGTTTTTGTAATAGAACCAGTTTATTACTACGATTAAAGCACAATCCATCTCTTTCAAATATGATTTGTCCAGAACCAAAAGAGCATAATTTTAAATAGGGGCTTTCTGCTCTTCTTTCTGACGTTCTGCGTGGCTCCCCAAAAGACATTCAAGGTCAGGGGTTCCTTTTAAAACCATTTAAAACTGAAACAGTAAAAGGAATGCAGCCAGAGAGCAGCTAGACGTGCGGTTTTGACACCGCAGTCTTTCTGCTTTGGGGTTCTTTGAGTCTTTACATAGCTAAGGTAACACCTTCAAAAAGTATGCTGGGATAGAAAACAAAGCAAAATATGTTTGGGGTATTTTACTGTAATCGAGCAACTATTTTATTGGCTGATTTACTGACCTGAAAATAAAGGAAAGGCTGTCTTCCATTAATTTGTTTTAGTCTTAATTTTCTAAGTCTGTTTTCCAAAATGAGAACATCCTAGTTTTTGTTTGAAGGGAAAATACTCCAGTTGTACAGGTAGTCCTTGATTTACAGCAGTTAGTTTAGTGACCGTTCAGAGTTACAGCAGGACTGAAAAAGTGACTTATGACCGTTTTTCATACTTACAATCATTGTAGCATCCCCGTGGTCACATGATCAAAATTGAGATGCTTGGTAACTGACTCATATTTCTGATGATCTCAGTGTCCCAGGGACATGTGATCCCCTTTTGCGACCTTCTGACAAGCAAAGTCAATGGGGAAGCCAGATTCACTTAACAACCATGTGCCTATCGTAACAGGTATAGTGATTCATTTAACAGCTGTGGCAAGAAAAGTCATAAAATGAGGTAAAACTCACTTAATAAACGTCTCACTTAGCAAATTTTGGGCTCAGTTGTGGTTGTAAGTCGAGGACTACCTGTAATTATTTTTGTTATCTTTCTCATTTTCTAGCTCCTACATATCTTAAATATATTTTTGGGAAAAGTATGTGGGGATATTCTTTTACTTATATTCTGTTCTTTTTTTAAATAATGGATATCCCAATATGCAACTAAATTTTGTTAAGCACTTAGTTGTATCAGAAATGATGAAATACGCAAAAGTGAATGCTTTTCCTGCGTATACTTAACGGAATCTTTTTTTCTAATGTGTTTCAATCTATTAGAATAGCAGCACTTTAACAGCTTTCTTGAATTCTTCATCATTTAGAAAGTGCCCTTAATATTTAGACTCAGTTCTTAAATAGTTCTGTTTTATAAGGTGGAGCTTAATTATTGTTCTATGTTTCACTGAATGGCAGTGTTGCTGATTTTGCCCGTTCGTCAGCTCAGGCTAAAACCTCCAGGAGAGTTTATATTCAAAACATGCTCAAATCATGCACCATTTTTCTTTTACATTCCAGTTGCATGCAGTTTTACATTTCTTAACAGAAGAATGTAACTGCTGGATCACAGCTGTTTCCATTGCTGCATACAGTTTTCTCTACTTTAGAGGGGCTAAATGCATTTACAATCCACTAGTTCACATATTTTTACATAAGATTGTGTTCCTGGAGATGGTGAGGGCTTTTCACGTACAGGTGAGAAATGAGGAATTCTTGAAGATTTTAATTGTGGCATTGGATTTTTAATGGTGTAAGGTCCTGGGGAAATTTGCATCTTTTAAAACTGCCTTTTTGCATTGCTTCTAGTTCATTAATCTTGCAAGAACTCTTCAGGCACACATGGATGATATTGAAAGTAGGTGATTTTACTTCTAAGTTAAAAAAAGGGATAAAGTACAATCTGTTCTTATATGTAATATTAAGTACTAAAATATCTGAGTTGATCTTCAGTTTTCAGATAGAGTTAGAATAAAATTGTAAAGGCACCTGAAGAACTCAAATATGGTTCCTAAGGAAACTCAATCAAACTACTTTTTTCAAAGTCCCCTGCACTTTGTTCTCTGTGAAAGTTTGAAGGGCAAAACTAAATAAAACTTACCAAAATATGCATATACTTAACATTTATCATTGAAAGAAACAAAGTCTATCCACTGAAATTACTAGAATCTGGTTAGACTTGATTAGTTTTTATATACTTAAGGACAATGGTGGGTTTCAAATAATTTAACAACCGGTTCTCTGCCTCGCCTTCCTTCCACCTTGGTCGGGGTGGGCTGCTCGGGGGGTTGGCTAGGATGGGGGCAGGAGATCCCAGCGGGGTGGGGTAGGAGCTCCCAGTTACGGAATTGCTGGACGTCCCAGCTGGGGAGGACAGGAGGGTACGGTGGGGGGGCTGCAGGAGTCTTGGAATGGGGTAGGTGCAGGAGAGTCGGGGGTCAGCAGGTCCCGGCTGGGGGAAGGTGAGAGGGTCCAGCTGGGAGGGGGCGGGAGAGCTGGGATGCCTCCGCCAGGGAAAGCCACGCCCCGACTGTCTGAGCTTCTCATCCACATCGCAGTCAGGTAGGATTGCATAGAAGGGGCACTGGGTAGAGGGCTGGAGGGGGAGCTGCCAGCAGGGAGGGAATCAGAGCAGCCGCTATTTCCCTTCCTCAGCACAGCCCCATCGCCGCAGGTGGAGATGGCCCCGAGACAGCTGGAAGTGGGCCCTTGCCCGGCCTGGGCCTCGTTCGCTCGGCAGCTCTGATGGGGGCGGCAACTGCTGCTCTGAGTCCCTCAACCAGCCGGCCACACAGGGAAGCAGGAGGTGGCGGCAGTGATCCCTGCATTGCCAGGCCTGGCTGGCAGCATGCCATCTCCCTTCCGCAGCACAGCATTTGCTGGGACCCCACCAGTCACCGCCCCCACCAGCGCAAGGACGGGTGGCACAGCTTCACTTCCAGAGCTGCTGCCAACTAAGCCAGCCAATGCAGGGATCGCTGCCGCCTCCTGCTTCTCTGCGTGGCCGGCGGGGCAAGAGGCTCAGAGCAACAGCAGCAGCTGCCCCCATCAGAGCTGCCGAGCAGACAGGGCCCGGGCCGGGTGAGGGCTCCCTTCCGACCGCCCTTGGGCTATCTCCACCCACGCCGATGGGGCTCCATGGCTGGTTGGCCATGATGCAGGGCAGCACCTCTTATGTTTTTGATTACAAGTGGTATCTTCCTTGACCACACAGTCTCCCTGAAAGCTATCAATTCTAACACCGGACACAGGCAGTTGGCGAAAAAACTCTATGCCTAAAGGCCCCACATGCATGATTCTACTATCCATTGCATAGGTAGTTCTTGTTAGGGTGATGATAAAAGGAACTAAAATCATCTTCTGTGAATGAACAGTGTATTGTGTCCATAAAAGTTTTCCTTGGTGAAATATCATTTTCTTGTTCCCTGTTCTTACATATATAGGTATTTAATACAAACCTCATTTATCTCTTTGGTATTATTTACTCCATTTACAAATTTAGGCTTCCTTTTAAGGACATTTTGGGGTTACCTGGCCATTCATTTACACTAGGTACATCTGGATTTTTGTTTTAAAAGGGCTTAACACATTTATTCCATAATAATCTTAACCATGTAATTTAATCATACTTTTTCTGGGAAAAGTAACCCTTCTTTAGCCTTTTTGGTATTGAAGATGCCTCCCAAAGTTAGTTATTTATTGCCATTCATATCACTGTACTTGCATATTAAATCCAAAGCAAAATCATACATGATGTGAAACACTTTATTGCATTGATAAAAATCTGGCCCTTTATCATTCTTAACCTGTGCAGCTGTAAAAAAAAAAAGAAAAGAAAAAAAACATTCCTATAGGTTCCTAACATATGTTAAATTGAAATGATGGGCATAACATTATTGTGACAGTTGTCAAGTAAGTGTCTTAACGTTTTTATAGAGTTATAGTTAGAAGGTGTGCAAGAGAATTAGTAAAATGGTACTTAAAGATAATTGCTTTACACATTTTACTTAATTTTCTAAAATATAAACAGATAATATATTTATATTTTATCCTTTTCCTTCCTCTAGTTGTTTTTTAAGGAAACAAGTTTTGATTTCCTTTTACAATTCATGTGCTTACTAAAAGCAGTATACTATAGCATAAATATACATAGGTGCGTTTTGATTTTTAGTTTTAGAGATGTTAAGTTAAAGTTGGATATAGGTATTAGCTTAGGGAAGCACTCCATTATGAAGCACCGAGTTCAAAGATACATAAATGTGTTATAAAATGAGATGGTGTGTCAAGTTAAAAATAATGTCCTTGATTTTAGACTTCTAGAACAGTTTCTGATTATATCCTGTACTTCCAGCAGCTTCAGATGATGATGATGATTCTGAAGATGGTGATCTCGATAGGACCCTTGATGCTGCATAGATGGAGTGGAAGGGCTAAATGCTCAGCTGACACAAGTATCACCAGTGCACATTTATTTAGTAAACCATGCTGAATTCTATTAGATTTCTGAAGAACTGCTGAGTCAAACAGAAAATCTGCTGTTGCACACTGGTATCCATAGATACTGGATATTGCTCATGCAGTCTGCAAGAGTATCTTTCTTCTTTCAGAGTATGACATGTATGCCTTCTTCTAAAAAATGTGATTTTTATCTGTAAGGAAGAGTTCTTTTTGTATAAGCTTCTTACAGAAATCAGTTATAAATTCTGGGAAATGTTTCTCATGTTTTGCTCTTCTGCCGGCACTAAGTGAAACTGTAAAGTGAGTTTGCAACTTGAAGTCATGGGGAGGGCATAATTCTTTGTTAACTTACCACTTAAAAAATATATATATATTGGGAAGTCTCATCATTTTGATTCCAGTGTTAACACCTAGATTGAATGAGGGAGTGAATGGGTTCTGTGATTAGTGTTAAGTTTCTCTTAAGTTTTTCTGGAGGAGTGTTTAACTCAAAGCAATAAACTTGCAAGGGGCTACTAATAAGTGTTAATTAAGGCTTTTATAAGTTGATTTCAAAACTAC